ATTTTTGTACCCTTTCCTTAGTAATTTGACGCCTAGTGTAGCCCATCTACGCCCTATGTGAAGCGCAACCCAAAAATTGGTAAAATATTTGTGCGGGTATCCGAATTGTGTATCTCATGTTAATCCAACTAATTTTTCTATTTTTAATGTATTGATTTTTAATTAATATGACTTATGTTCAGTCAGTCAGGAACAACTACAAACTCTAGTTCAGATGAAGAATATGTTATGAATTACTGCTTCATTCAGCTGTTTTTTTTCCAAACGGTTAACCCTCTGCACGACTGATTAGGAGTTGGTCGATGATTGCAGTGTCTCCGTAATGTGAATGACTGACGCTCATACCGACACCTCAACCATATACGTCCACTTAGTGCTGGTTGCAAGAACTAGACTTATAATTTACAAAATCAGAATGAACAAAGTGTAGGAAGAAATTCATGACGGAAAATTATTTGCTATTTGAATTTTCTCTGGTCTCATTTCAAGACCGAGAATATCAAACAAAGTGAGGAAGCTTCTCAGGGCATTACTATCTAGACTGAACTCTATCGTGCTGCGTCTCATTCGAACGCAGTTCAGCAATGATTTTGGTCATTTTCACCTAGTGGTGAAGCAAGCGGGCTCTTAGAAGCAAAAATAAGGTTCCTTCTCTTATCTGATATAAAATCTGGAATTAAGTTTTGGCGTCTTGACTTCTAAGATATACGCAAAGATCGTCGTGTCATTTGTCGGTAGCTAATTGGAAAAACGACATGGTAGCCGAAATGTTAGTCAATAATCCTATACAAGCGTTCGTGCATTTAAACGGGAGATTGAATGCTAGTCGGGGAGTAAAACGTTCACTGGAACTTGCAAGGAGTTCTAAGATCCATGTTGCTTTCGCTCAACCGATGCGAAATTTTGCCACCTAGAATTTGCTGCTTGTGAACAAGCTTTATATCAATCCAGCCGATATCACTCGGTTGGCATGGATATATGTGTTCAAGACAGACAAAAAATACAGACTCAGTGGAGCAGGAATTATCAAAAGAAGCATTAAATATCAGGTCAGTGTCACCAATACACTTCGCATAAAATTCATATTTTTCTGTCATACGCATACAGGATATTCCTTTACTTGGAAATAAATATTTCGGCAAGTAGTGGAACAACTAGAGACCTATGGGCTAATTTATTCTTGTGTCTGTGAACTGTTCCGTTGAACAGCGAACACTCAATTTGGAACGTGCGTTCCCCTGACACTGCGAAATCCAGTTTCACAAATGCACTGTAAATTTCACTTCATCGTTGCACCGGCTTTTGTATGGCGTGAAGAGACCTCATCATTGCCTTACAGTTCCTAACTTGGCACTATGGTGCTCTCTTTGGTCATCAGATCAGCGTAAGTGTGATAGGGCGATTTGCCAAGTTCTGTTTGCAGTCTATTCACCAAAGCCCAGGATTGTATGACTAGACTCAAATCCTTGAAATGTACTACTCATAAGGTTGCTGAAAATCCATCGACAGCCCACGACCGGTTTCGCTCTCCTTGGGGCTCATCAGGTAGGCGCAGTCCCCGGGTTTCCGTCAACCTNNNACTTGAAACCTGAGAACATCATAAAAAAGCGAGATTCAGCTGGTTTCCAGGTGAGTCTCTCGAAAGAACCAAATTAGTTTGCAGATGAGTGTATATTCGCTAGACTCAAATCCTGTTGTGGCGGACACATGGGTTGGAACCGTAACATCAGTCCCCTTACCTCTCAGAGTGGTCTGCCATGATGAGTCATGGATTGTGCACTAGTGAAATCAGGTGCGCAAAAGGCGTTTGCCCGGGCTCTATATCAAGTACGTTTTGCATACACTTTGACTTATGTAATATAATATACACTATAATATATATAATATGTGATATAATATATAATAATATACTATAGAAAATAATCAGATTGTTGTAAGATTCATCCATCAACTGATCAGCTTCAACTGGGGAGCCATCCGATCTTCCTCCAAAATTCCTCGTATAATTCAGTAGCCCAATTTGGTCAGCTCATGGTACTTCAAAATAGTTTTGGCACTCTGCTCAGCAGTTGGAAGGGCTCATCAAAAATCTTCAACTCATTTATATTTACGCACTTTTGTGTCGTGATAAGTTTGACCAAATCAGAATGTCCACACGGATTATAGGTGGTACCATTCTGAACACCTGTTTTACTCACTAGCCCAGCGCTTGTTTTTGATGGAATAAATAGGGGAGCAAAAGTCTTCCCAAACATGTCTATTGTATCCAAAGCAATATTTCGGTCATCAGGTGGTAAAACCTCACTGTACTTTTGGATGACTCGGTTCAGAGCTAAATTGTTTTCAGTAGTTTAAGTAAATTTACAAAAGTACACTGTACCTTTTTGGTCTCCAAGCGCCCACAGAATCAGTTTAGATATCTCAAATGGATATCTTGCTATATTCAAGCTGAATTGTCCAACCGATCTAACAATAACAGTCAGCATACTTTCGTCCTCGGAGTTTCTGTGATAACCTAAATTTTCCAGGGTCTAGTTTCAGTCAGTCCAACGTGAAACGGACAGAAGACTTAAAAGAATTTTTGTGCAGCAAATGCGAAAGGTGACCTTCATCAGGTCAGTGAGGATTTTCTTTATGAAATGAAAATGTTTTCCTTTGAAGTTTTTTTTATTATAGTGATGGTGGCACCCTCTCGTATTAACTTCGGGATCTAAATTCAAGGCATCAAGGGAAAGTAAAACGTAATCCAGAAGAAAGATTTTGACTTAATTTGTCCATCTGTGTTTAGACGAGATCTTGATAAATGCAAATCTACAGCGGGACAAGATACGCACTAAAAACTCTATCAGGATTTCATACTAAGTTTGCTTTCAGTGGGACTGACATTGGTTGAAGGAGGACACTTTGGGTGACTCGATTCTGTGGCAACATGAGATACCTGAGACATGTAAACCGCAAAATGACTAAGAATTTTTCCACCGGTTTTTCATATTTGACCAAAGCAGCTTCTATTTTTTGCGTCGTTGAGCTTCTGGAGACGGTGAGTAAATTTCAACCAGTTTTTCAGATGCTCTCACTCACATGGCCGATGCCAAATAGTACCGTTCATACCATTCGCCCCGGCAACATTTGAGTTAACAGAGAGCATGTTCAGTGAAAATAAAGGTTGTTAGGTTTGTTGATGGCGGTATTAACAATTTTATGAACTGAAAGTTCGATCGGCTGAGGCTGGACAGGTTCTAACTCCTCCTGACCCACTAGACACTTTTCAACACGTTTTTGTATTTCTTGTTCCAGCCTTCGAAAACAAAGATACCTGGCCTAGTCCACCTTGTTCTAGCACAAGATGGGAAACATTCATCTACTGGGTAGCTGGGAAATCTGGAAGTTGTTCCATTCTAGCACGAAGTACCATATCACCATCATTCCTACTGAACAACTCTCTCTTGGCTTCTCGATTTAAACCTTACAAATTCACAGACCGTAAATAGCTGCCGGTGAAAGATTTCTAGTAAAATTCGTTAACCAAAACTGGGTATGACTTATCTTTACAAAGCCGAACATCTATTGTAATGATTGTATTGGAAACAAACACAGTAAAATACAATGAATATGATAAGTTTGATTAAGCACTGTTGTCATCCACATCACTTCACCCCGTTGAGTATCGGCCGCGCTTTTCCGCGGATACTGAAAAGGACAGTGAACAGGTAAACTCGACACAATATGCGGTGCTAAAACTGACGTGGATTAACAAAGTTGATGGCTATGAAGTGGAAATATCTCAGACCGAACATTCATCCCAGATAGTCGTTACACTGGGGGACCCAGTAATGTGAACGTTTTTGAAGCATACACTTGGCTGTTTTCCGGACGCACATCAAAGCGACCATGGTCAGTCACGATCAGCACATTACTTGTATGTTGGCACTAAGCTTATAAAACATGTGATCCATTATTAGTTGAGTTGTTTAGTGAAGACAACAGTTTGGTTGAAGACGTTCCTTTAGCAAGTGTGGTGTGACTATCAGCAGCTTTGCTTCGTAAACCCAGGATACTTGTATTCTGAGTATATTATTGGCAGTCCTCCAGTGGTTTATATCCTCCTAGTCATAATGTATTGTCAATGACAATACAATGTGCTGTTCTACTGATGTTTGGTTGAGTTCTGCCGTATATATTGACAATATAAAAAATCAGGGGTCATTTTCAAAGAAGCCTCGGAGTCAACTCTAATAGCCTTGAGGTAGGGGTCAGCTCCATATTGCGTTTGTTCACAACCATTCGCAGTGTTTCACGCCACTTTGATTTGCAATTTGCACTAGCTTAAGTCTTCCATGCATATTTTTCAGTTTGATTTTTCACAAAGGTAAAACGTTTAGTACCCGTAATATTCTCAGATTATGATTAAGACAACTTATACACCATTTGCGTCGTTAGAACAGCTTTGTGTCTACTCCGAAACATCACTAAATGGCTTTACTATCCCATGCCAAGCTGATGCGCAAAAACAATGAACGAACATCGGTGTCAGTGATGAGTTTCGTATAACATGAAGATGTTTCATGTAAGTTTTAGTACATTCTAGTGGGATTAATCACATTTCGGTTGGGGTGAACTCGTAGCCTTCATTGAAAGGGTCTATCCAAGAAGCGTCGGTCAAAACTACCTCAGAATTACATTCTGCGAAGTCTAATTTGGGACCCATTTACAGTTGTCTGTTTCGACATTCCCGTCAATGCCTCCAAAGGTACATGTTCATTCTTCAGTGATGGCCGCACCTTTACACAATATTCATGTGACTAATCCACTTGAGCAAAAGTTCGATAAACTTTTGTATATACGGGCTGATTAGCCAAGAAGACATTAGTGTTCCTGCATGATAAAACGGTTTTTGGTTTGGTATTGTACAAGTCGAGGAGTTCTCAATGGCTGAGCAATCACCCATTTTAATCAGGCGTAGAACAGATTAAATCAACCAAGTGCGCGTACTGACGTACGTTTTTCAGATGGGCTTAAAGTAGAAGCTGAAAGGAGGGAAATAGAAAGCAAAGTGCTGGCGTAAAATAGGGGTGGGTACACGAGAATTAACTTGTACTGCATAAAATGTATGGGTAGTTGAGCATAGTACATTGTCGTGGCTTGCGTCTGAAAAGAATTTTCAAAGTAGTATCTTCTGCCACCTGATAACTTAAGAAACAATTCAAGCGTCTAACCAATTGCTGATTGTCATGAAAACTATCCGTCTGTTCAGGGGATGCCATATCTTAATTTTCTTAGGGAAAGGAAACATGTCAAACGCACTTTCGGCTATGCGCTTAACCATCGTTTGACCTAATTCAAACTATATAGTTGAATTTTTTGACTTGTGCGACGCGAACAACATAGATCAGATGCAAGCCCTCGTTACGTCTGTTCAAAGTCTTAGCACTATTACGGAATGATACCCAGAATAATAACTGTGTAGGAAAATTCATCATATACAGGCGGTCGTACAAACCTTATAAATAATGGATTAAACTATCTGTAACTGGCTGCAGGCTTGTAGCATTCTGTATTCACACTGCTGCTGTTTGAGCAAGCGTCGCTCTGGCCTGGTTGAGTGTTTCCGTAGTGAACCTGAACTTAGACTTGAAAGCACTGGAATAAAGTTTGGCCCCATAAGAGCTCGTGAGGCGTATCGGGACTTGAATGCTTGACACTAGACATGCGGGGACAGTGAGTAATCACTACCTCAATAGTGCGTCCAAGGCATCCAATTTAGTTTACAATAAGAGGTAAACGCGTTCTCGTTTCATCAAAACGGTTGGCTCGGCGAGAATCTGAAAAAAAGATCTTACGGTTGTGGCCTAGAAAGCCCAGCCGATACGGAAGATTGAAACGTCTTGAATGTTGTGTCTTCTGAAAGGTTGTGCAACTCTGTGTTGGTCCTTGGCTTTCTGCTTCGCCCACAATGTTATATCGAAAGGTACGGTAGCTTCAAACAGCCACTTATGGAGGAAAAGGAAAATTATTCGTAGGTTACAACAGAGAACGTCCCACATAGTCGTACTAGAATCTACGTACGTGGCCGAAAAGCGTCGAGCTAAAGATGCTCGATGCAAATAGTCCGACACTCTGACCAATCAGAGCATGCCTTCGATGTCCGCTCGTGACATATACGTCCAACTGACGTGCTGTTCGGTTATTAGGGGCGGCTGGCCTCCGAAAACCTTGCTCTTGAGAGGGATGTTTAACCGACCGGGGCTTCGAACTCAACTGTGACGACTTATGGAGGTATTGTCGTATGTCGTCCCGTCTCTGGGACTGTGAGTATGCCGATCTACTATCTCGTGCTCTCCACATCCGTGACATGCCACGGATGTCTGATGTCTCATGAAACGTACTTCTCTTAAGCAGCAGCAGTCCGATGTCTAAGGTTGGTTTATTTGACGTGGCCGGGTTTATGGTCTTATCTGTGTTTCGTGTTTGACGTAGTATTCGACGCTGGGTCTACCGTGTTGAGCATTCCCTGGGTCCTCGTATCAGTATCTGACCTCTGTTTGACTGATATGGTGTTTCTTCTACCGGCTTCACTTTGTGGGCTTTCCAATTAATTAATTAATTAATTAACCCGTTAATTAATTAATCGTTAACCTTCTCACTTCAGTCCATTCTGGCGGATCCTGCCTGCATCTAGCAAAGTTTTACCACTTGTTCGAACCCTTCGGTTTACAGTGCCAGATTAATTTCGAAAATCTGTGTCAAAATCGAATTCAGTAATGCAGCTGACAGCGGTATCTGTGGAAGAAGACGGAGGCTCAACAGTTTTGTCGCATTTACTGGCATACTGTTCATCAGAGATTCAAGAAGCCTCATTGGAATTTCTTTGAGTTGTTTCTGATGTCAAATTACTTAGGGTTTCTCTGCCGAAACTGTCATAGTGGGTTCGGTTTGTGGCCAGTAGTGGCAGCTTCTGTTGATGCTGTAAAACTTCCTAGAAAACTCAACCAATGAAGTAACGATAGGGGCAACGTTATTCAGGTATTCGTGCGATTTACAAACACAAATAACTATCCTGGGTCTGGTGAATAATGATGGGACACTACTGGTACATTCTTCGCGACCGAAAATAATTTAATTGCAATATTGTGCATTGGGCACAGCTCTGTGGTGCGGACGTTATACGGCACACTCTAATCCGTCCCAGCAACCTCCACACTGAAAAAAGGATGTATCTACTTATAGAAGCATTATCAGCCCAATATATCAGTCGACCTATTGTTAGATCTTGCATTGATACAGCATCGAATAGACAAAACATAACACCTCTCTCTGTTAGTCTTCTCGTTGCACTGCCAAAAAAAACTTGTGGATAACTTGCGAGGTCACTATGCAGGATTAATTAACCACTGCTATCGGACCATCACAGAAATTAACCCGGTTAGCATTTCATCTAGTACCTGATATTATGTCGAGGATAGGCAAAGGCGTACACTTGATTTGTTCGTAAAACTATGGGTGCTGAAGCCATTTTGTTAGATTTCACTATCTGCATGCCGTCAGCCTTCACATCTTATCCAAAGAAGAGTAAGGTAGCTAGTGGCCTCAATGTACGGCCTGAGCATGCAGCAACAAAGTTCCAAGGTTTATTTGCTCTGGCTACAATCTACAGCGGCCTTTTGAGGCTCTCTACTGGGACTCAAATCTCTATCAAACAGAAAGATTCAAACCAATCGCAGAAGCCTACATTAAAGGGTTTCAGGTATCGCCTAATTGGAAGTGCTAGTTTTGGCGACGAGTTGGTAGAGCTTCTGATTGGGGCGATAGATTACTGGAAGCTACAACCTAACCAATATGTCTGAATAATAATGCAGTCACCCCAAAGAAAGCCTATAACGACTTCACTAACAAAAAAGCCATTTTGGTGGGTTTTCATCTTCTGGAAGATGAGCAAACGACAGTTTGGGCCTACTTAGAAGTAACAAAAACTTCGCATTCTAATCCATCGTGACACCTTGAGAAGCATTTTTGCAAGCCCATTTGGTTACTTTAACTCTTCCTTATCACGTACACTGTAAGGTCGATCCGCATGTCTCTTTAAGAAGCGTGAAGTAACATAAATACATTCTCTCATGAGGTGACTCGATGAGAGTCATTTTTACGGTTATTTATTGATCACTGGGCAAAGTTGATTCCTAAACCTGCTCGCATCAAACGGAGACAATCCAGTCGACTTTGAAAAGCTTTCACGGTAAACACAGATTACGTGCAACAGCGAGTAACTGGTTTGAGTGGTTATATACGCCCGGGGAAACAAATAGAGTAGTCTATCATAAATATTTTACAGGCCCATAGACTTTCGGAGCAATAACATTTCTGCTCTACCTACCATTCTTCAACAGTAACTGTGGTCCCCTTCATTCCGCTGAGTCCACTCGCGTAGAATCTATTTATCTATTGCTTTCTCGATGAGGTAGCACCAGTTTCATGATTATATTAGCCCAACGTTTACATCTACCGGTCTTCAATCGCCCGATGGCCTTCCAACTTCGAGTGATTTGGGAGGATAACAAGTAGGGAGCATGTAACGCTAGCAATAGGATCGATCACAAAAATGCACGCTCATCGCAGTTTTGATGCGGCTTTTGTTGATACCACAAAGTTTTCACGAAAACGGTGAGTGCGGAAATAGATCAGAAAGTCCTGTGAACGAAACGGTATGGTGGAGTGATGTATTAATAAGTGATTTATAATGTGCATTCGCTGTTTGATTTGCAGGACTTTAATATTTGTAGGATTCTTCATATGTTTTCTATTCCAGCAATAATAAACTGTTCAGCCAATAACCCGCAACCGTTCAAATGGAACGTTTGGGCTGCTTTTGAACTCTAGACCGGAAAATTACGAAATCACCCTGGCCTGTAACGAGAAACGCGATGGCATGGAAACTCCACTAGCCTAATTCAGTAGAGTGAATTGGATATTAACAGCAGCGTCATTCCGCTGGGGAGTCGGTATATCTGAAAGATATTCAGGTTGTATGCTAAACCGATGAAAACAAACTGCTTTCTACACAAATTTGCCATAAGATTTAGAACAAATTCAGTGTTGCTCATACCTGAAAGCATATAGTCATCCTCCGAACCTGCGAAAGAGAAGAAAGGATACAACATTGGTATCACGTTTATCTTGTTTGAGGCGGCGTTTTTGGAAGGGCCGAAGTAACTATCGTACAAAAAAAGTGGAGTAGGGTAAGTGCGTTTATTGAAGACAAGCGCCGTATTTTCACGCGTACAGTACGTGGACGCATATCATTCAAATGACCAACAAAATCGAACGCTGCTTCTATTAAGCCTACCATAGAGTCCCTCTACCTAGTCATAACTTTAAGTCGACACGTATCAAGTATAGTATACATTCTTTTGTCTATCCTTCACAGTCGGAAATACAAATATATGGTGTGACAAAATCAATAGGTTGCAACATAATATCACGGAATATAATTTTCTGGTCCGAGGTGGTTTTGTAGCTGCGACGAAAACAGAGTACAAAGGATTAAAGTCACATAACATATTATTTGGCTTGATTGCCTATACGAACCAATTTCACACGCAGAATTCAGACCATACTTTCTGTTTCGATCACTTTTGGTAGGTTCTTTTAATTTTTTTGCAATAGATGTGATAGCACTCATGTGGTGTCCTGTCAAACGCAAACAGGTGCAAACTAAATTGTTGACAGCGAGCTTTTTCGTTGCTGAAAGCTGTTTGGGATATTGTTAAACACCCCTCTGAATGGCATCTAGCATGCCACAAGCATAGCTAGCCCGATAAGAACAGCAAAGTTTACTTGTGCAATTCAACTCTTGTTTGACCAGTATACGCATGATGAATGATGTGTATGCGGCCGGCAAATAATATCTTTGAGGTTCTTCAGTCTAATAGTTCCCTTGGTGGATTAAAGTTCGAAGAAAGTCTCAGGTGAACGAGTTTTTCTAAGACAAAGAATAAACTATTTTAGAGACCGAAGTACATGTGTATTTCATCTGTTTTCTTCAACCATATTTGTGATTAAACTGATCTCTCTAGATCATATTTGAGTTAATATTTTTCCACTCTTACAATGAGGTATTGAATCAAGTTTAGTTTCATTCTTGAGGAAATGATTATGAAAATTTTTGCATACTGGCCTTCTTGTGTAAACTCCACTCACTAACAAAAAAAACCGTTTTTCTTCTTCGGCACCGGAATGAAAAAATTCACTAGCAAATCTAACTACTACCTTTTCATCATTGACTGAGGATCAAGAGCGCCCTCAAAAACGACAAAAAATTGCCTTTAAACCTGCTCCTGAATGCATACTTAGCTATTTCTTTCGCTAGCTGGATACCTGTGTTTTCGGCAGGTAGGTTTGCCAGAACTGGCTTTAGGGAAGAGACCACTGCTGAGCCACCCATATGTTCATAAAACCTTTTGGTGCTGCTGAGTAAAGACTGTGATTATTTTATGCATAATTATATATATTGAAAAGAGGTTAGGCAATAATTGGTTTGTGTATTTTTGTGAACCCACAGAGTTGAGGCGCACGTATGCTTGATGATATGCACGGATGCCAATGTGCTTTTAGTTCTGTCAAACTGGATATAAATAAGCTTTTTACATTTGATGTGTTATGCATCCTGTTTTCGGGAATATTAGGTACTTCTTACTTAGTAAGCAGTGTTTTTTTGGAGAATGAAATTGTTTGCTTCATCGGGTTTATCGCTCCTAATTTCCTCTACCTCTCAGCTGGTGATATGATTTGAGATGTGCTCTGTTGAATGGACCTTGATTTGTCGATTTATATGGTCAATATTGTCGACAGGTCTGAATGTTTTTCTGTCTTCTCCTACGGAGTAAAATAGGGAGAGAATGGTTGAGCAAGGCACAGAGGAAAATGTTGATGGCCCAGATAGCGTAGATAGTCGATGGCTTGTTCGCTGAGCTGGAAAATTTGATTGCAAACGTTTCATCGTCAATCGAGGTGATCATCAGTGCGTTATTTGGGAGCGCTACACACCACTACGCTCCTCAACAGCACACTGATGATGTCACCTCGAATAATGATGAGGCGTTTGCTATCAAACTGCCCAACTCAGCGAAACAAGCCAACGACCAAATGTATACCTTTACCATTGTGTTCTGTCATACTGCAGTGCTGACTGCCATGCATTCATGGGTACCCATATAAGCTACATTCTATGGACATTGCAAAACTGAAACAAATCGTCAGAATGCTGGTTATCCTTAATTTATCCTGTTAAAAACCCCAAGGTGACAGCAATTAGTAATACGCTGTTGTTTGGGTTAACCTTGTTAAAACCTGGAACATTTGATACATGAGACCACAATAAAATAGTCCATTGATTACAAGTAAAAAGTCTGTGGAAACATTCTGGGTTAAGGTTAGGAATAACACAGTTACAACACATCCGAAGTGTACTTTACAACGTGATATACAATAATGTTCTTAAATAAATCTCAGTCGAGAAGTCCTCCTGCGAAATCAATCTGGGCCTAAAAGCACAGGAGCTGATTACTGCTGTTTTGTCGAGGCTGGGGGCCATCGGCGGTTGTCACGTATCTCCAAAGATATTTGAACTCGCGATTTCTCCATTAGTAGTTGAAGTCCAAACATGTTTTGTCACTGGATTTCAAGTCTTAGAACTTATAACCACTATGTCAACAGGGTAACCATACCAACACCCCGCTATCACTACAATCATTTATGAGCATTTGATCTGACGTATGTCGACCAATTTAACAGGCCTTCCACCACTTTTGGTTGTCCAAACTTTTACATGTTTTGATTTTTCAAGGTCTTTGTGATCCGTTGTCCCCACAAGAAGGCTTTATTCTGAGATTGGAGATTATTCGTGAATTTTTCTCTCAATTTACAACACTTCCAAAATTGAAATCCAAACATTGATAATTAATGGAGCCTCTCTGAGAAATGCTATTAACTTTACATTTTTTGTGTTCTTAGATGCCAGGAAACTTAAAACTCCAATTAGGAAGGTGATCCACATGTTGAGTTCCATGGGCATCAATTTATCAATCAAACTGAGAGTCAACTGTGAAATGAAACCACCATGCGCAAAGTATCTCTGTCTAACAAAGATTAAGACGTTAATTGAATTGAGGGAAACGTAAGATTGTATTTGGAGCAACGTTTTTCAGTGGTGGATTGAGGAAACACGTGTATAGATATGACTGTCAACATGAGCCCTGCATTACTTGCAGGAAAACACTACTTTTGTGCTACTGAGATTGTAAAGTCTGTCTGAGAAGCTGTGTGATTACAAGTTGACAACAGGCATATATATTCAGGTGACATGCAAAAGACGTTCTACAATTTACATTTCATCTACAGGCCTGTTCAACGAGTGTTGTCGGGTTCCGGGCATCAGAAGACAGTCCCCGGGTTAAGCCAAGTTTACATAGAGCACAAAGTCAGTTAAGTAGGTCCTCGCTTGTGAAGTCACAAATGGTGTTAGCAGATGCTTTTCTGTGAGGAGGTAATGGGAATTTATACCGAATTTTCCAGATTTTATACCTCTTGGACTGTTTGACTTAAAGTACGTTAGCTATAATTATAAGGACATGGATCTGTTAAAATAACTCTGGAAATTTTGATAAAAGAAACTACTCACAGGCTTGCTGAAAACTCTTTGACAGCGCACAACCGGTTTCGCTCTTCTTGGAGCTTATCAGGTAGGCGCAGTCCCCGGTTTCCGTCAATCTTATGTTTTACTTGAACCCAAATTAGACTGTTTTCGAGAAATACACTCATTTGCGAATCATTTTGGTTTTTAGCGGGGGACTCAAGTGAATCTCTCGTTTATGATTTGGGTTTAAGTAGGACATACGGTTGACGGAAACTCGGTGACTGCGCCTACCTGATGAGCTCTAAGAAGGGTGAAACCGGTCGTGGCTGTTGAAGAGTTTTCAGCGACCTTGTGAGTAATTTCCTTTATTAAAATATACTGCGATATCTCGAATATCGCGCCAGCTAAAACAGTTTATTTCGTGTATCCTCTGAATGCAGCTACCCGGTGTGCAGCTTACTGGAAAATAGGATAATCACCTTTGTTTTCTCGGTAAAAACTCGGAATGCCCGATTCGGATTCCGAACACTACATCAAGTTTATTTTGAACACTATACATTGCACTATAGGTAAAGCATGTTTAATGAAAGCACGCCTTCGAACAGTAGCAGGTGTCAGTAGCAGTAGGCAGTCAGATATAAGTCCAGTGATGAGTGGTGCTTCCTACGAAGTGAATTTGACTCGACCGTTTTTAAAGTAGACAACACATGTAAAACTGTTTCTGTCAAATGAGATATAGCCCGGAGTATGTGGTGAGGCCTGTTTTGACGTCGTGAAACTAGGCAGAACAGACAGGAACATCTGTGTGGGGAATGCTATAATGTCTTGAATATGATCTTTACTGAAACCCAGACATCTTGTCCAAAATATAGACACCTTAGTGTTCAAATACTTCGGACGATTAGGTAAAACAAAAACCTTTCGACTGTTTAGTGAACATCAGTTATCTTGATGGAGTCATGTGAAGCAGACTGAATGTGCGGCGAATAAGGATATTCAGGCTGAGTGCCACCAACCGTTGTAGAATAATTAGCCCTTTGTTAGCCAGCCTGTCGAGATTTGGTGAACACAGCGTTTTTTAAATTCCTATCACCAATGAAAAACGCTTCCTTTCCATGAAGACGAACCCGAAGTGGAGGATTATTTGTAAGCGATCTATTCGACACTTTCTTAAGGCTTTAGCTGAACTTGAAATCTCTTATTCGAAATGATCATATAGTCCTTTTTAGTGTCCTTCAGACTTGTGTGGGTGGAAATTTCATCACCTGATTGTACACTCGTTTGGAGAGTTTAATCCAGTGGCACTGCTCATGTTTCAAGATGTCGACAAAACTAACGTTTCATAAAGAGAATCAGTTATGTCATATCGTTTACACTAATTCTACGAAAAAGATCGGTCATCATCTTTACAGAATCGAAGCAGGGTTAGGAGCAATATATACCTTTAAAAAGCGAAGGATGCCGGTTATCTTTTATCAAATAATAAACGTTTATATATTTTCAATCCGGTCGTATCCACAACAAATTGATCAGATATGTTGAACCAACGAGAATACAAAACAACTCTGAATGTTAGCTAGGGATTCACAAAACACAGTGGACTTGTTTTTTCAGAGGTTCCACCATTTGCAGTCAAGTTGATCAGTCACGTCATCAAGAAAACATTAGGTTTCTTTTTGTGTTGTGTACAAATATTTAATTCGTTTCTAACACCGAGCCACTGTACATTCCTTGTGCACTGGAAGTTTGGTCGTTCCTACTCTTCAGTGAGTGCATAAGATATGTGATCCAGGGATCCTTCAATTTTGTGCGTAATTGTAATCGCAGCATCATTGAGCTTAGCGATTCCTGAGATAAAAATTCATATTGTGGCCTTATCAGATCAAAAAAATATTATCGATTCCAAATAGTAGCTGAACATAAACGAGTGCCTGGTGCATCCCTGTCGTGCACCTTCCCTAAGGTTTCGCGGTGGTTCTGCCCTTTTCCATGATTTTCACGATATTCTCCAACATTGCGTACCATCCGTTGAATACAATCCGTTATGCATCGAAGAACAAGGACCTGTGTTCTTCCGAAATTACGCTGTGTTTTGCCATCTTGGTTGCCTGTCGTATCAGAATTAGAATATTGTCGAGAGTGCGTGTGGACACTAACTCTACACTACAGTTGACAATAAATATAGGTGGTTCGTATTGACGTCTAGCATGCAGTCGACCAATCTTGCAAATATAGGTATCAGAATATTGAATGAAACGTAACGGTGCCGAAGTATTTCGGTGCAGAACATATTACTGACGGGTTCTGAAGTCGTTGGGGACTCGTGCACATCTGAACCAGAATCACAACATTTGCACATCGTCTGGACTCCATTTCAGAAAGGTCAAATAAACTACCACACCCGATCAGGCTGTGATGTTGCTCTCTGATCACGGAAAGTGAAATTTTCTAACGTCAAGAACGGAACCATCTGGTGATTTAGTTTCTGTTAGGTTAGGTATGATGATATGTGGCGAACAACTTTGGAAGTGAGATCTGACGAATTTGTTTTAGCTTATTTATTACTCACAGGTATGAAATGCGCGGACGTTCTGGACTAGTTCCTCAGGTACTGTCTTTTCCACACATAGACCAAGGCGTTCTACAAATCACCATCAGCAATGGTGACCAAACTAAAGACAGTTTTGAATCAAGTTTCTCCAGTGCAGTCTTGCTGCTAGCCGCTGCATGAGATATTGTACCATAGATTACATAGAATAAGTCGATGACCTCAGAACTTGCCGGCAATCTGTACTGCACCGGAATACTTTGGTTTTCAACTGTAGTGTGGAGTTAAGTGTTCAGAGGCACGTTTGACAGTCTTACGAATCTCATTCTCATAATTGCTACCATAATACCTTGCTGTAAAATGTGCAGTGTACCCCTTAATATTGACCGTTTAACAAAATTTCCTTTCGGAATTGTCGTAACTACACGGATTACCAATCTTTATACCGCCGCATATCTGTTACCGTGCACCATGAGTTTTGTAAGATAGGTATTTTCTCACAGTAGTGTGATTACAAGCTACTTCAGGGGAATCGGATACAATATTCGTACTCTTCCTGCTCTGGGCATTTTGAAACAGACAGACGGTGACTACTGGTTTCTGAACGCGCTGATAAATGTTGACAGAAATTTGATCATTCCGTATTTTTGCTGAAGCGCGCACTTCTACGCTTGTCACCTGTTAGATATATGGCCAACAGTTGACATGAGAATTCAGTACAAAGAGCCTAGTTTAGCGTTTACCATCTGGTAGCTTCCATTCGGCACAAATTGTGTTCAGAAATCAACCGAGCCAACCCACATGCCTACCGTTACCAAGGAAGTCGACCTAACACTGCAGTTTTATATGAAGCATTACTACCCCACGGGTGCTTTTTCGTCCTTCGACGCCTGAAGGTGCGTCCATTGGAGAACAAACGCGTCTCTGAACTATCGTCGGTGTTTTACGTACCGATTTACAATAAAAGAACCGAATTGTAAAAAATGGCTTAATCGATCGCGCAGAAATCGTAAGTCGCAGGACAACAACTGTTGTGCACAACAACCAACGAAGTTGTACTTGCTAGTGTATACCGACGGACCACTCCGATCTACGAAACCCTGGCACGATCTTTGAAAGACAAATAATCGGCAAGTTATGACTGTAAAATTATGGTTTCTAGAACTATTCTGATGCGATATAACAACATGATAGTATGTCAAGATATTTACCTTTGTGAATTTTTCAGACTAGCAAAAAGTGTTAAAGGAAAATCTCTGCCGTAAAAATTAGAAGTAATATCAACTGGCGTGTAATCGACTCGTAACACGGAAGTAAATTTTTATTCAACCAGGCAGATTACAAATCTTCCCAACATATCAAATCCAGTCCTGATGGCAGACAGTGCGTTGTGCGTCACGTTTTGTGGTGAAGAGAACTGTTTTGGTCAGAATCACATGAAATTATGCTAACTCCCACTAACCTTGTTGTGTCAAAACCATGTGTGAAAGCGAGTTGACGAATTTTGCAAATGAAAGTTGGAACTGAATAACTTGGAACCCAACTAATTGAGAATTTTCGAAATACGGACCAAATAAACATTATGAGCAGAAGATATTTGATAATTTCTACCGGAGGCAGACCCTAAATTAATCGGTCCAGTGGGTTTTGCTCAGAAATGGTTGCAGAACAAACGTGTGTTATGCCCCTCATAGGTCCAGTACAGCCATCAAGGAAGGTTGATTGACCCATTGTAAGTTTAATTATTCCAGTGCTACACAGAATTATTTTACACAAGTGAAGAAAGATCATTGGTGATATATTGAATGTCAGGATTAGTTAGTCACATGGGCTTATAGCATACAGTCTCTTAAATGGGCCTGCTTTGCTGAAGAAGCTCTTATAGCATTATCCTGCAACCACTAACTGTAAACACTCCTTCTTCAACAGAGTTCAAGAGACTTCTGCGTGGCATCCAAGCCAAAGTGGCCTTTCTATTTAACAATGAACAGTACAGACAAGCAACCAACCTGTTTGGACCGGTCCGGTCCTGGGAGACGACCGTAGTACTGGTATTGCCCACACCGAGATTTGCTGAAACAGCAAAGCGCCGAGAACCAGTAACTGTATGAAATTAACTATCCATCCACGAAGCAGATATCTTTGCACTCGCATTTTTCCTCAGTCACGTTCGATATGTTCCAGTTTTTCACCTTAATTTATACCCCATCGCTTTTGAATGGGTTGGTCATTGTTGCGATAACGATTGGTGTAAGTTGCAATACAGTTAGATTCAAGGTCGCCGAAGGTGATAGCAATGGAAGATGAAGTTTTTTATCGAACTGACCAATCACTCTTGCGCGGCGTTGTAAGTGCTCAATTCTAGCGACTTACCGTACGTGTTTATGATGAGCGCACGCTGTGTGCTACGCCAGTTGAGACTTTTGAACTAAATAACTATCTGGGCTGAAGAACAGAATTAAGATTAGCTTTCAGGTTTAGTTTGTAGGAATGTTTTGACGCTCTCCCGTCTACTAACATTGGGCGTTGTGTAAAGGCTTTTGTCACCGTGAGACCGGTACCGTTTGTACTGTCGATTTTGAAGACCCGCAGACGCAGTACTCAAAAGGATAATCCGGAAACAGGTGCTTGTATGGTAGTGATGATAATTATCTCCGTGTAAATTTTACGCAGTGAAGCTCTCAGGAGAGAACTATTTGGAGAACAGTCACTCCTTCGGTAAATGCGTATCTCCTTTCCTTGAAAAGTACCATTCAGTGTGCAATCTTTTTAAAGAAAGCCCAATTTTTCCAAGAAGACCCCTACCTTATCCTATAGCATCATCGTAAGTATCATAAAAATTGACTGTTTTTTGGAAGCTTTAAAAACCCCACATGGTATGGATTATGTGGTTTTTGGCTCTACTGGCATTCTCCGTGATAACCATGAAGTAAAAATTCGAAATTTTAAATTCTAACGTCTCAGGAGCTCTTTCGGGCTTGTAATGATTCATCAGCAGCGCTTGACTTACGAGCCTCCGAGAGGATTCATACCTGGGTCTACCAGTTACTACCTGATGAATAAAGCTTGCATTAACTAGTTCAATGGGGTGATTCTCAGTTCCCGACCTGATACCCAAGATGAATAAAATTTCCACACAGTAGTGAGTAGCTTTGACCATGGTTTGGCTTTACTTATGACATTCCTGTTTTTTCGGCAATAAATGGAAACACTTTCAGCGTTGAGTTTTGGATTAACTACCCAACCCAAATTGTTGGTATCACTTTTTTTACACAAACAGATCCAGTGCAGGTTCGTTCCGAAAATTTTGGTAACTTACATGTAAAGAGAAGTGCAAAGCTTGAGTAACAATAGAACTCGTCAAAATTGCATAGAAACGTCTTCTATTACCGTTACATTTATAGCCGTTACCTTTTTACATGACCTTGTTACTGATGTGCTTTTTCAAGTTTTGTGTTTTCAAAAGGAGACAAAAGTTTCATAACAACACAAACCCGGTGGAACGGCGCTGTTGACACCGTTTGAAGTGCATCACGATGCGAGGCGTTCTTCTTTCCTAGAACCTTCGTGGACCGCTTTTACCAATCTTGGGGCTCATCAGGTGGGCACACTCTTCCCTGCTTCATTCGACTTCATGTTCCACTTAAACGAAATGAGTGCATTTATCAAATACAGTACTAGTAGATCATAAGTTTGACGGAGACTCGGTGACCGCGCTAGCCTGATGAAAGAACAGAGAAACTGGTCGTGGGCTGTCCAAGGGTTTCTTTATAGCCGTTACCTTTTTACATGACCTTGTTACTGATGTGCTTTTTCAAGTTTTGTGTTTTCAAAAGGAGACAAAAGTTTCATAACAACACAAACCCGGTGGAACGGCGCTGTTGACACCGTTTGAAGTGCATCACGATGCGAGGCGTTCTTCTTTCCTAGAACCTTCGTGGACCGCTTTTACCAATCTTGGGGCTCATCAGGTGGGCACACTCTTCCCTGCTTCATTCGACTTCATGTTCCACTTAAACGAAATGAGTGCATTTATCAAATACAGTACTAGTAGATCATAAGTTTGACGGAGACTCGGTGACCGCGCTAGCCTGATGAAAGAACAGAGAAACTGGTCGTGGGCTGTCCAAGGGTTTCCAGCAACCTTATGATTAGTTTTCTTCATGGTGAATACATTTTATTCGCATTATTTACGTTTAGTCAGTGCTAATGACGTCCTGTCCGAGCAATTCCAATTAATCCACAACAAAGCCAGGGGCACTGTTGATTCGATTTTTTTTCATAATGGGTCTTACTAACCATGCGTACCCGGCACTGAGCTTCGAACTCTGACATCCCACGTACATATTTTGAATAATCCACTAACGTACACCATAACCGAGTAAGCTAGTGCGGCTTAACCAACGGACTGGGGTCTGAAAACCCAGTCGCACCATTAAAGCGTGAACATGTTCACCTGCTCACACACGACGCCAATGTATCAAGAGTGCTTCGAGGGTCAAATGCTGACGTGCTCAATACAATACACTACCGATGAGTTTCAGCAGAGGCAAAAGTTGCTTTCAGCACTCTTCAACTTCTAAATGCACTAACCACAAATACTCATGCCTGGCCTTTTCATACAAGAATGCTGTTGTAATTTTTGCGTATTCGTATTTCTTTACCCTTAGTCATGCAGTCGGAATCAACACGACTTTGGAGAATCTCTGGCGTTTTACCCTTTGTGGCCGTATGCACGCCAGGTAACTGATTGGATAACATCTCGGTAACCAGCAAAGACAATTAGTCTGCAGACGGCCTGATGCAGTATCCTTCTCTGCTGCCTTAAGGTATTTACTCTTCCCGTTAGGCAGCGCTCTGTTTCGCAATGTATCATAGTAAGAAATATCAGTGGATGTCATGAATAGTCAACTGAACTTATCACATCAATTTATCACGAAAAACATTCTAAGGAAATGGCCATGACAAAATGTATTTGAAAAAACGTTTGTCGCTTTCTGTTTCCTGGCCTGTTAGCATGCAGACTTTTCATCATAAATCGAGATGACATTGGACATTATATCCCTGTGAATGGAAGCAGCGCAATATCGACGTCATCTCGACTGGTGATAAAACGCTGACTATCTGGTTGTCCAAATCAGTTAACAACCAAGGGGCCATTTGTACGACTTAGGCTGCCAAAAATCTTTCCAATATCATCTATAAAAACCCATTGTGAGAACACCTATAGGATGTTTATTTTGTTCGGAATTCGCTAAAATATATGCGAGTAGTTCAATGAAATCGCTGAAATCCACAAAGGGAACGTAGCACACAATTGCGTGACGAAAAGTAAGTGATCATTTGCACACCTGCCTCTCCGCCTCGTCCGCATGCCTTTAGTGCTCTATCCAGTAACTTGGTCATACAGAGAACGGTCGCGCTGAGCTAGAAATTTGACCGATTATAGCACATTAGATTACCTTGTGGAAACACAAACGTTGCTGCCTTCCCCGTTCAGATTGACAAAATTGAAAAACAAATCCACGAGCATGAAACACGCACATCTTTCTGGAAAACATCATCCCGATAGATTGGAATTAATCGGAGTGTCTCACCTGCAACTTGTGTCCTCAATGCATAGTCCGGCAACTCACTTATCCCGGCTTCTAATGTGCCCCTAATCAGACCATCACGTATAACACAAGACAGTTGGTTGCTTGATTTCAGATAAAGCTGCAATGTCGGATGCTTTTATTTCGCAAGCATTTAGTGAGCCAATTCAATAACAAAGCGTTACTCACCAAATTTTGAAGTGAAAAATGTAGTTAATTGTCTATTCAATGAAAGATTGCATTCTGGTAGGGTCTTTAACAAACATTATAGGTACTCTTTGACCCGTGCTGTCGCATGAGAGAAAACTCTTCATTCCCAGAGAGGGTTCGCAATAATTTCTTCAACTTCCGTGAAGGAATACGTGCAAATATTGGCAGGCCTTTGTGGTTGAAGATGTTTTGGCCTTAGAAAATTCAATCTTCAACCCCTTTCCCCCGTGTTTGACTTAACCGTAAAGTGTGAAAGTGAAAATATGGGAAGAAGCCATAGTTTGTGTTAAGTGTGACCAGACAAGAATTACCTCCGGTAGTGGTGATATCGTATACCATGAAGAATCAACTGTACATTGCTCCATCACGTATTGTTTTACAGCAGCAAATGAAACCAACTAATCCTCCTTTTAGACCATGGATTTCGTTCCCTAATCACTCTATGCTGTATGTTTGATCGAGATGTCTAACTTATCTTCATGCGTTTTGGGTACATTGGACCTAGAATTACTTGTTATCGACGCCTGAGGACCTAGTTTACATCAATGAGGCTCATGCATCATTTGAAATGCCTGCTTTCTGGCTAAATGTTGCCCTTATAAGTTTCGTGTCACACGCCCGAGTAATGTCAGTTCTTGCGATATGCGTCGGAAAGCCTTTAGAATGTTGTTGTTCATTGGTAGATGGGGATATTTGGCAATTCAATGGAAAATTAACCTTGAACAGCCAGCGTACGCTGAAAAACCGAGAAGTAATGCGCAGCTAACCAGAGGAAATCCTTGACAAACCGGCTGTACTATGCTGCTGGTCCGAGAAACTGCCGATTGGGCCGCTTTGAATTGGGAGCCGCACAGTCCTTGTTCTTTGCCAGGTTTTTTGAGAGTGAGCTTAACATTCTGTGATCCACTTTATGCCCCAGCAGTGTCATCTAACTTCGAAAGATCTGTGTTTTGGCTTTATTTATTCACAAACGAGCTTCCTGGCTACGCCTCACTACAGCATTCATAAGAACTGCCTGCTCTAGTTCTGAACTGCTGCACGCATGGCATCATTTTGGAGTCCGTTTTTTGTGCGAAGCATCAAGCGCCGGTTAGTTCATTCAAACAGCGGACATCCACGCAAAACCGGTATTTTCCGTTGGTATTCCTCACAAGCACAATCGAGGAATTGTACGTGTTTTTGTCTTCCTCGTTTACGCCAGTTTTCAGCATCTCTTGGACTTGTTCATGGACCGCCTTCCGTAGATGCGGCGGCAGTCGACAGGAGCTGTTAAAGTCTAAAGAATTCGGAAGAGAGTGAAATTTTGTGTTGAATCCACGGGTATAAGCCAACCGAATCTTCATCGCCTGT